TCGTTTATGTTCGTTTATGTTCGTTTAGGCATGTTCGTTTATGTTCGTTTATGTTTGTTTATGTTCGTTAAGACTGTTCGTTTATGTTCGTTCGTTTACGTTCGTTTAATTTGTTAACGAACGAACATAAACGAACACGAACACATCGTATTTCTAAACGAACGAACATAAACGAACACGAACACATCGTATTTCTAAACGAACGAACACGAACACAATTATTTTCGTTCGTTTACCGTTCGTGTTCGTTCGTTTGTTCGGTTAAGTTAAACGAACGAACACGAACAAGCCTCCGTTCGTGTTCGTTCGGTTCGTTTACAGCCCTAACCATGATGTTTGATATCTCAATTAATAACAATATTTTTAATAATTATGTTATAATTTTTTTTAAATAAATGTTAAAAGTTAAAATATCAAAAAAAATTATATGACTTCTAACAATTTCCCATTCTAAAGGAAATCTAAGATTTAACATCAATATAAAATATTTCAAACCTATAATTAGGGACAGATCGCTATTTCTAACATAAGAAATATGTTTTCGGATAACTAATTTCTTCTTGTGCCTTTAATTAGCACTCATCTCATCACGGTGTCACTAGTATCATTTCCCGAATAGGATCTTATGCACATGCCAATAAATAAAAGGATTTAGACTTAACGCCTAGTGAAATTCAAACAATTTACATCTTTAATAATAACGGTGTACTGAAAAGATGTTATTTGAATCACAATTTACAAAATGAAATGTATTTGATATAAAAATCAATATCCTATCCAAATCCACCATTTTCGTGGTGAAAACTCATTTATGAAAGACCCATTTATCATGAGAACAAACCACATATTCACTCAAAACGTGGATAATGTTTAATATTCAAATACTGAAAACGTGAATAAATCATTAATATCCAGAACACCTTAAAACATGGACAAAACCCAAAATATTAAAACCAATAAATTACGGATACAAACCATACCCAAAACAACACTGGAAAACATGTAATACATTATCCATAAATAACGTATTTCGCTAACGGGGTGAGACTTGTTTCCATCAAGTGGCGGAACACTGGGTAAGCTACATCAAGATGTGTTGACGAGTAAATTGCCCCCAACATACAAGCCTTGGTAATTACTCTATTTGGAGCTAAGATAGTAACATCAAAACTCCTTACTTAGTCAGTCCTCAAGTTATAAGATGAGAACAACAAAACTCCTCAGTTGCCTAAAATCAAAGGTTATAAAGCCAGAACATCAAACCTTCTCCTTTTTCCCAAACCCAAAGATATCAAGAAAAGAACCTCAAAACTTCTCTCTTCTCACAACCAAAAGGGTCCAAGCTGAGAACATCAAAAATACTCATATGAATAAACCTTATGACTCCAAGACGAGAACATTAAAACTCTTCACTGATCAAAACACGACTGACACATATATCTATGGATCCATTGCATTACAACCTAATTTACACGACTCTAAATGAACGACCAACATACTTAAAACTTGTAAACCTGAGATCCGATGCGAACAATCAGTCGAAGGAGCGAAGCTTAGAGCCTTAACTTTCGAATAACAACGCAATATATGCATATCATATCAAAAGCTCAACATAGATCAAATAAAACTGGACAAATGTCTCCACGAATCATCGGAGTCAAAATTGAGCCACTAAATCAACAATTCAATTTACTATTCAGTAACAGTCAGTATAAAACAATAAAATACAATCCCCCAAAGTTTATGCAGCTTATGTCTAGAAGATGTGAATATCTTTTATTATTGACTCAAAGAGTGGGGAAAATAGCAAAACACACCTTAACTTCAAAAAAGTATTTCCAAATAAGTAATGACACTCAAAATGTGACCAACAACTCAATCATATACATTTTTCGAATGATTTATAAAATCAAAATGCCAAAAGTGGGTTACATCAAATAATCATATATGAGGAATAAATCGTAAAAGAACATTCTTATGATTTATTTCTCAAAATATCCCAAATATATGCATTTTCAAGATTTATTAAACCAAAAGTATCATATATGCAAACTTCATCAAATAATCATCACATTTGATAAATATCAAGGTAAACACTTTAACACTCCAAAATATACATTTTTGGCGTGTACGAAGTTTTCACAAAACAACTTGAATTTATCAATGTATCCGGTAACCCTACTTTCCTGGATGCCAAGGGTTCAAATTTCATTAATAGTAAACATGTATATAAATATCATATACTTCCAAAGAAAAGCTTATATGAGATCAAATATTTAATTAGTATCCATTCAACAATATCCAAATCCAAGAAGGGTTGTAGGTTATGTAATCATACCCAATTTTGTTTCGATTTGGAACTGATATTGCTTTAAGGTCCAGAAGGTTAGCAGAGACAGAAACATAGTTGCTCACTTCTTGACAAGACAGACAAGACAGTTTCTGTTTTATGCCTCGTTAACTACAAGTGTGGTCTCTTCTAATTGGTTGGTTGAGGATTTAATAGTACTTATCCATCCGTAGATCCTTAATGAAAGTGGGCATTTGATATAATACGGACCGAGTTAAGGCCGGAGTAAGCCAGTGTTATCGTCCCTTGAATCTGCCAGAGAGATCCCATCAATATTGTTACCAATTTAGAGAGTTTTAAATTTTGATTTCTGATCTTGTACTTGTATTTGTCAAAAGAAAATTTCATAAAGTTTATTCTGTATAATTTGTATACGTATTTCTTGAAGAGAACATGAAGGTGATTCACATATACAGTATCATGGAATAACACCGTAAAAACTATATTACTTTGAACCTAAGAGATAAAAAAAAAAAAAATATATATATATATATATATATATATATATACATTTTTACAGATTTTAATTTATAAAAAAAACTAAAAAAAAGGCTATTTCAAAGGAGAATGATTGGTCAACCTAAATTCAAGTGAGGTGGTCTACATATCATATGTTGTTCACAAAAGAGCCTCAAACTAAGGCATGGAAATAGATCACCACCATCTCTTTATTTTCATTCTTTTTCCTCAATTTCAATAGCAACAACTCGACATAGAGTTGTGTACACATATGTTCCCGAGTTCGTAACGATGGCCAGGCCAGACGATTTGCAAACCGCCTCAGACGTCCCAAATGCTCAACGACTTCAGAACTTGTTGCACTTCAAAAGTGCCAAACCTCAAACCACCTCCCTGACGTTCCAACAGCTTTTGCAAAGTAATATTCATTCTTTTTCTTTTAGATTCAATCTTGTGCAAAAAAGAAAATGATGGAGAGAATACGGTTTCTAGAATTCTGATCAACTTCTTTTGCTGCTTTTTTTTTCGTAGTTGAAGACTCAAACTGGTCACAGAAACAGAGAAAGAACCAAGATCAAGCAGACGATGGGAACCACCATAACAAGAAGTCGGTGTTGGCAAAAGTAAAAGATAAGGCCAGAAAGTTGAAGTGTTCTTTGAGCGGGAAGAAGCATCATGACGAAAATGAGTCACGAGGTCCTTCCACCACTCCTCCATCGAGTGTTGGTCGAGAAGAAGAAGCCAAGTACCGGAGTGCACCAAGTAATGTATTCTCTTACGTTTCACTATCTTGTGGTTAAAAATGAGGATGTGAAATAAGACTGTTTATATGTTTGACGTCTTATTCCGCATTCCCATTTAACCATAAGAAGTCGGTGCTAGCACATACGACTGTTTACAGTTACGACAAAGTGTTTTCACCAAGTAGGTTAAAAGGGGAATGTGCAAGTATTTTAGTGTTTTCACCAAGCAATGTATTCTTATACTGAGGTACGATTGTTTACGATTAAAATGGGTATGTGTGTGTATTTCAGTGAACGGACCCAAGCTTGCACCCGATACCCACAAACAGGCATCAAGAGATCATCATCGAGAAGCTCCCGTAACAAGAATCCAGAATCATTACACAACAAGCAATGCTCGGGAACCATGCGCTCCGATCCAACAGGTGTCTAGGGTCCAATCGGATCAGGCGCTTGAGAAAAGCGAAGACGAGCGTGCGAACTCTAGTAGCACCAACGCCATAACGAAGGCACAATCCAATAATCAACCACCACCAGATACATCCGTTGTTGCTAGCGAAACCGATGCCAATAATCAAGTACCAACCACAGCGCATGTTTCCAAAGTACATGATTTGCCAGAAAGCGGTTCAAAATTCTCGGGCCTCAAAGTTTCGACTTCAAAGAGTGTTGCGAGCAAAGCTGACGAAAGTGTCAAAGAGGGGGAGGACATGAAGGACGAATCACATACATGGGATAAAGGGTTCTCGATGAAAGAATATTTGATGCACAAGTTTGAGCCCGGAGGAGATGAGCGTGAGCTTTCGCAAGTAATTACACAGACGATAAGCCCTAGGCGAGATAAGGTGAGAGAGGTCATGAGCTCGTCTCTGAAAAATGACGAGCCTTCTGAGTCAACAAGTAAACTGTCGAACTCTGAGGCAAATTCATCAATAGTTGCTAACGATACAAACTCGGACTTGAAGTCGAAACCAGCTTCTGAGAACTTAAACACCAAGACGGGGTCGAAAAATGTTTCTTTTAGTCCGAGGCATAGTTTAGGGATGTCAAATGCCTCTTCGAATCTAAACCAAACGTTTAAGTCGACCATTGCTTCCTATCAAAACCAGAACTTAGGATCGAGTCCGAACGATAACACGAGTTTAAACTCCTTGGCTACCTCATCCAGTCAAAACGCCAACAAAGGGTTGAACCAAACTTCGACCTGTGTTCACTCCCCTACCAAAACAAGCTCGTCGCCTTTGGGTCATGGCTCCAGTGCTAACGGGACTCGGGCTCCTGCCCAGACGAACTCTGATGCAACCCAGGTTCATAGCCATACTGACACTAAAGCAAAACAGGTTCCTATATCTAGTCCCAACCAGACTCAGGTTCCTAAGCATTCTGAAACCAACACAATTCGGGTTCCTATCTCTGTGGCTAACCAGACTTGAGTTCCAGCTTTCAGCTACAGTAATGAAGGTATTATCTGCCTGTTTCATAAGCTGCATATCGCCGTACTGCACAACCCAACAATCATGATGAATGCTGAGCATTCGGTTGTATTTTAGAGTTCATATTATTTAACAAGATTTTGGATGCAGCTATCGAAGAAGAAAATCATGGAAGGATTCTCCGATCTAACTGAAAAACTGTATAGCAGAACTCGGCCCGTGAGACACGGCAAAGAGGACGTTATCTAAATATAACTTCTTTTAACAATTTAAACAATTGTTTTGGATTTTTTTTGATTAATTGGATATCCAACCAGCTATGCGAGCCGACTAATCCAAAGCGGGTAGCCCGGAGTCACCGCATTTGAACCTCCATGGCTACAAGGGAATTTTTTATTCCTCGTTGGGTTCGAACCAGGAACCTCCAGACACTTTTGACCTTTGGAGCCCAAGCTTAAACCAATAGGGTTCCTCAAGATAAAGCTAATTATGTACCTTTTTTTTTTATTAATGCAAATGAAACTTATTGCAAGAGTTCAAATGATGCAGAAGATATGAAGATGCGTGTGTATTGTTCTTCTGATGTCTAATGATATCTGTTATGCAAAACCAAATTAAATGAACCCAAATATATGTAACACTAAGGTAGGATCTGAAGTAGGATGTACACAGAACTTGTCTCTACCGCAAAGGATAGAGAGACTGTTTCTGTAAAGAATCCCGGATAGCAAAACAAAATTAAAAAGGAACAGATAAAAAGTATAATGAATAAAATGGTGGCATTGATACATGGGATGTAATGATCTACCATCCAAGTATGCATGTGTAAGAAATAATTTAACGACTATAAAAAAACTAGTGGTCGGTTTAAATAAGAAGGTTAAATACCGTGAGAAGGTAAGAAGAGAAGTTCACATGTGAATCATTAATAAAGTTTCATTTGAAGATGTATATGTGAACCCATATGAATAATCTGTAATATCGATTCACATATGCATCTTCAAACAGATTTTGCCTGATTTTTTCAATGATTCACATATGAATCTTCTCTTCTTACCTCTGACGATATTTAACCTTCTTATTTGAACCTCCATTGAAAGACTAACCATATCCTGAAGCCCGCGAAATCCCTATTCATTTAATAAATCCTAAAAAAATCACATCCGAATGGATGGAAATTTTACGGCGAAAAATAAACACTAATGCAATTTTATAAAATTAGATATTGAGATTTCTTACATCAACCTCAAAAAAGATCAAAATTCGTTAGTTTTCTGAAACCTATGTTCTAAATTAAGGGAGGTACATTAATCATAGGCAACAAATTTGAATTAAGGAACATTCAGAACAAATGGAGACAATTTTAATGGTAGTAAATGATAGATAAATAATGCAATGTGACATAAAGTTGACCAAAAAGCCCAAAGGGTATAACTGGAATTAGCCATCCATGTAAGAAAGGTCCAGTTTCTGCAGGTAACTCAAAAGTAGCCATGAATTAAATACCAGGGCCAAATAAGAAGCTCTCCCACTTTATATACAGCTGGTATGCTTTTCCCCTTTCTCATTTGAAGTTCTTTTTAAACTCAAAAGTGGACTTGAGCTATTAATCAGAGAGTAGCGGCCGTCAGTTGACAAGTTTTCGGGCTGATGTTGGGCATAATCAGAAGTCAAACTCGCCTGTCGCCTGACAAAGAAAAGCACCATCAAGAAGTTGGAAAGCAATAAGATTCAACGAGTACCATTGCATGTGTTGCGGACCTTGCGGTTAAGAAGAGGATTGATTTGTTCCAAAATAACTCTACGGCAAAATGAACAGAACGAACCTTATTGAACAAAACATCTTTGTTGTTTATGTGCATAATGCCGTCCTTGAGAGTGCATTTCCACCTGCTCTTTGCACGAGTCACCTGCCAACCAGTTTTATTTTCATGATATATGATAACGAAAATAAATGAAAACCACATAAAACAACAAAAATTGTAGCACTCCATTTGTCCAAACAACAGAGTTCACATTTCAATTTCGGGTGTCCAAACAAAATGCTTTTCAAACGCCATAATTGGTAATAATCTGAACGACGGGTGGGGTTTTGATTACTACATTGTACTTTCAGTAGTAAGTGCCTACCTTCCAATTCTACCCTTAATAATGAGATTGAGAATTTTATTACTCCCTGTATTATTAAGGGTAAAATTGTCATTTAGTTAATTATTAAGACAAATGAATGTCTTATTTACCCGGCATAATTAAAGACTGGCTCAAATCAGTATCATCAATTCTATGCAACGACGGTAATTGAATAATTACCTAGAAAGAAAATGGACGAAGTATTTGCAAAACAAAGGACAAACTCTTTTTTGAGATGTTAGTAATTGTGATAAATGCATGTATTTTACCTTGTCAAACTGAGCCAGAACTAGGTGATGTGTACTTAGTTCTTCGCCTTGGTCCACATCATCCAGATCATCATCATCGTCATTTTCATTCAAAGGCTCTTCTTCATCATCGTCTATAACATCATTCTGGTTGACCATGGCAGGAGTTGGTGCTTGTAGCTCTTAATAGATGCATATAACAAGAAATACCAATTTCAAATTGAGAATAATCAACTAAGAGACTCGTATATCTATTTTAAAATAAATGAATTATTTACCTGGGGGTGCTGGTGTGTTCGCTACATTATAGTCTTCATTGACAACTCCTTGGTAGTTGTATATCTTCAAGTTCAAGATCACAAATATGAATTTGGCTAATTTTCACACACACACACAAAAATACTGGCAGAATCATATAATAGGGATAGATCAACTTCTTTATATACCAATCTACTTCGCTCTCCTAAAGAAAACTTTATACAGAAGATATAAATAATTAATTTTGGCTGGAACCCATCTCATGTGAATACCAAGATTTGTCCTCTGGTAGCAAGAGGAGATTGGTTCAACTCCTAAAGAAATCATTCTATAGGTCCATGTGTTCTATAACCTGAGTGACCTAACAAATAAGCAGCAAAGAACAAGATGTGTGGAGTATGTCTATGTCTCAATCAAGCTTGAAAATCAGGTATGGGAGTTGATGAACTGCAAATTTCCAGTAGCTCATGTTATGACTATAGACAGCAGAATAAAAGAAAACAACATCTAAAACAAAATCAGATTAGCCAAGACTTCACATTCAATGACATCATTCAATCAAGAAAGCACAGGCAGGCAAAAATATAGTCAAACAAGCCAAAGTGGCTTCGGGTACTTCAAAGCAGGTGTAGTTTTTTTCCCTTTCTAGTAGGTCAAACAGGGTAGGGGAGCAAGGAATACAATGGCTAAGCTATCCATGCACATACATTGGAACAGTTTCGTACAGACAAAATCTTCGAATGCACCATAGATTTTATAAATATGTATTAGAGTTTCCAAATATTTACTGCTTTAGCTATGGTTCACAGAAAAGGTCTGCAGCTTGCATTTGTGGTAAAGTAGTTTTGGAACAACAAAGCGAACTTCAGAAATTGGAGTACCCTTGTTCTAGCAAGCATTAATCCCCAAGGATGCCTCGCCTAAATCCAGAAAATATAACAAGTCCATTTCGAACATATTGACACCTTCAGATATGCGAAGGGACTACTTCTGGATTGAGTGTCATCAACTTAGGTTATGTTTATTCATCTAGCATCCTAGGGCCTTTAAGTTCTACTAAAAGTTTCCAATTCAGAAGTCTTCTATTATCTATCTTCCATGTTAAGAAATTGAATAGTTCATGATGCATCTAAAAAAGATCCTGTCTGTAGCAAAAGAATGATTCTAAGTTCCTAGAGCTTTCCATTACTGCATCAGATATTGAACCTCAATAACAAATGTGTAAGGCAATTGTAGAGAAAGACCAGTCTAAATCAAACTAAAGCATACCTTTTATGTTCCAAGAAAATGTACAGAAGATATAAATCTAAAACACATTAGACAAGCTAACAGTGAAAAACTAAACAAAAGTATGCATGAATCCAGGATGCACCCACAATGATAAAACTACAGTGATTCTGCCCAAGAACCTCAATACTAGATTACATCCTGATTGTTGTACGCCATGTAAAAAAATTTATATCAAACATCCCTTTCAGGTCGTACATAGTGGCTTTTACACTAATCAGACTGCAATAGATTGGTACCATGAAAATTCTGTTTCCCTTTTCTTAAAGCATGGCCCAAACTCACACCAAAAACATTTCAGCTTGGCATGCCTCAAATTGAAGAAGCACATAGAAAAGAATAGAAGCAAAGTGTGCAACTATTACAGTCAATGTGCATGGCGTAATAGGGACCAATATGGCAGACAACACATCTCAATAACTGATTGTACTAACTGTAGGTTGGAATAGCAGTGATATTAACGCAGATATAAGTTCAAGACTTGTTCCTGATAAACAAGCATATGCTCACATTTGGTGTAGAAACTGCATCATCATAGGGATCAGGAATAGGTCCATCCAATTGAGGAATTTGAGATAACTTAAGTCCGTGCCCTAGCTTTTTGTTACCAGCAATGACAATTCCAAGTTGAGAACGACTTCCTTGACCAACCTGAGAAATAATCATATGATTGTAAGGATTTTTATCATACAAGGAATATACAAATGATAAGATAATAAACAGAAAAAACGAATGAATCCTGAGAATATGTACTCAATCATCTTTCTTGAAAGTCTTCAACCATCTTTCTTGACATTAACCCCTAATCTTATTAATTACTATGAAAAGTAATTTTTAATGCGTTCTTAGAATCGATCAGCTCCACTTGTTAATAAATATTTGCAATTGCCAACATGAGATTGGTTTTAATTTTCAGAAGATGAAAATCTGGTGTGGTAGTACAGAGACAACATGTCACATTTAACTAATAAATGAACCAGATTGTTTGGCAACGAACTTAACTCAGGCCAACATGTCATTCAGCCTTTCTAAAAGTATGAAGATGGTGATACTTGAACACAAAGTCTATTTGGGATATAAAAACTGAAAGGAAAGCTAAAGCTGAAGGCGGAGTAAAAACCCTCATCACTCCGAAGACTCAAAGAAGGAATAAACAAATGGGAAATATTGACAAGCAATTCTGTAAAACTGAGAATATGCAAACATCTAATCATACTATAATCTTCCTTCAAGCAAGGCAGTTCACATTGTATATTGGGTTACCCTGCCAGCTAGAGATGCACAAGGCAGGGACTTCTTTGGACCTGGGCCCAGGCCTTCCAAACCCATTTTTAGTGAGCAAAAACTGTCCCGGGCTTACATAGGCCCAGGCCGGGTCAGACTTTGGGGTTAAAAAAGGGACCGCTGGGGCTTTTTCAGGCCATGCTTTTCCGGATCAAGCCTTCCCCCAAAAGTTCGGCCTGATCAGGCTTCGGGCTCACTAGGCCCGGGCTTCAAGCTTGGGCTTTTTTGTGCATCTCTAGTGCCAACTATCACCTGTTAGTGCCAGAGAAGATGGTGTTCAGCTTCTTCCCCCTTAACAACGAAATCGCAAGATCCTTGGAGTTGGCAGGAAACATCAATGGAGAAAGGCAACATGATGCAATAGATTAGATCTCTCCTTGAACGGATTAATAATATGGTCGGACATGTGGAGCGAAATACAGATCCTAGCATTCTAATAGGATACTTATAGATTGAAACCTCATGGAAAGTATGGAATCTTGATCGTGGAAATGTTGGAAATATCATTATACTCGTTGATAATCATCAACTTCTACATTTCAATTCATTGAAGATGTTGATCGGATCAGATTTTCAAGACTTAACCATTCATTGCAGAACGTTCATAGACAAGACTCACACTACCTTTCCCACTCTAAAGGAAGAAAAACAAATGCGTTAATGTCTTGCATATGGAAAACATCAGAGTCAAAGAAGATGACGTTCATGTCCTAAAAGCCTCAACCCCCAGTCCACCAAGAAAAAAATCATAATCTTATGCTCATAGGCTTAGTCAGAGTTGCCTTCATACGCTTTTAGCTTTCCTTCCACCTTTCTGTTAGTACCAAAACCCTAATCAACTTTAACACAAGGTAAAAATGATAGAATGTTTCAACTAAGAAAACTGAAAAAATCCAATCTCACCCCAGCAACATCTTGTAAGGTGTAATTCATATATTTTCTTAGTCACGCTAATGTATACAGATTAAAACCATAAATGACATCCTCATGTAGGTAGAGAAGAAATCATCATCATGATCAAAGTCAAGTTACTTAAATCATGATTTCGCATAAAAAGGAAAGATATTTTCACTTCCACTGTCAAGACTCAAGAAGATGAAAGTTGCAACAAGTGTAAAACTGAGGCATTGATCGTAAGATTCCTACAAACCTTAATATAGAAATATGACAAACTCCAATATGAAAATGCTAGCAAAAGGTAAGGCACAAATACACAGACAAGAAAGAAAAAAAAGAACATGTCCTGTATACATTAATTGCTAAAGTTTTCCTTTGTTTTTGTTTTCCTTTCTCATCTGTTATTTGTGTTCAGTCAGCACATAATAGTTCGTCTAAGCTAATGGTGCAATTTCAGTATGGGCAGTGCTTAAGGCACCACCAATGGTGGTCCAAGCTGTTGGTATATTTTCTAGGATTTTGATTGATTGGTTGGCCCTCAATATTCAGCTTCATTTTCAGTTTTACTCACATTTCTTCTCTACCAATGAAAGGGTGCATGTGCCCTCTCTGATATGATCCATGAAGATGTAGAAGCAATTTTGGAAAAGAGAATTTCAAGTGAAGAAATACATCATTTTAATTGCAACAATGGATTCACATTATTTTCCTAGTTGAAAGTATTGGCTGACCACAAAATTGATATACTTAAACAGTAAGGTATTCTGCATGGGGTTTAATAGCAGCTTGTTTAGGGTGCCTCTGCTTGTGCACAATACAAGTAAGGTTCCAATGATATGCCTTGCTCATAAATTTTGAGATTGCGGTGCCGGAAACTCAAAACTTGTTGTGATGGAGATTAAAGGTGTAAGAATTAAAATCAAAACGAGGTGTCAAACTGTCAAATGTTCTTAGAACATACTAGTAGGCTTTCGTCTTGACAAATGACCACAGTTAAACCAAAGGTGTTGAAGCTAATGATCTGAGATGATCATGACAACCATGAACCATATCCATAGCAAATAAGATCCTTTACCTCATTAGGGAATAAGAGTTTTGAATAATCACTTCAAAGATTAAAAGTATGGTGCCTGCATGTGTGCACACAAGACACCCCGGGGGGGAGAGAGAGTTGACCATGTCATTACATATATACACACACTCCTATTTCTATGTATGCTTTAACTATTTTATAAGTTTCTACTGATAGCCTCTCTGCTATTACACACTTAGATCGAAGGAAAAATCTTCTCCTGCAAGTATAAATGAAATGAAGAGGATGTAGTATTTTCAATTTTTCATGATATAAAAAACTGAACCAGCATGAATATTTGCATCAACTCTTATCATACACTTCAATGCCAAAAGAACCACAAAAAGCTATTGTATAACATAACATAGAACGTCAGCGGGCTAAACATATGACCAAATGGTAAACATATGACCAAATGGTAACATTTAAAAGAGATAAGCACCAAGAAGCTGCACCTCAGACTTGTCAGCAAACACGTCTCCAGCTCCATCTTGCTGTGGAATATATCCACCTGGACGATATTGTGAAGAAAAATCGTCCCTCTTCCGCTTCCCAGTAGATGCTTGGAAGAAATCCTAGAATTAAAATTAAAATCAATAAGATCAGAGATATGGAACGTTAAGTTCGGCATACAAGGGTTGCTTAAAAAATGGAATATATCAATAATTTCTCCATTGGAGTAAAAATACAGGTGTTGTAAGTTAATGCATAAGAGACATCACACATACCGCAAAAGGCTAGGATATGTAACTAACGCACTTGAATGCCTCTGTTTTTCATAGTGTGTCAACCAAAAGCTATATCTAAAGCATAGTTATTATGCCAAAACACCAAATCCCACTTCTGGATGGGATATACTGGGTTTGTTGGGTTTTGTAATTGGAAAAGAATACTTTATATATCGAACCACAAAAAAAAAAAACAATTGTTCATGGCATGTTAGCAGTCCAATGCGAGGTTACTCTCTGTGGGAAGGGTTTGGCAAAATCTTGATAGCACTTTCAAACCAACAACTAGGAAATTAAAAAGGTATCTCCCCAAGTGTCACCAGGCCCCAATTGGGGGTCAAAGGGATGATTTAGGCAGAATTACAAGATAGGAAGGCCAAAGGTTTGTGCTTTAAATGCAACGACAAGTTCACTCCAAGGCACCATGACTCCTCAAATGTCTTAGGATCTTCTTAGTAGTTGGTGAGGAAGACTAAGAAACCGATTTTATTAGTAGTTTTTGGACTTCATAATTGGAAAATAATACTTTCTTTATATATTGAACCACAAAAAATTTCGTTCATGCATGTCAACAGTCCAATGCGAGGTTACTCTCTGTGGGAAGGGTTTGGCAAAATCTTGTAGCATTTTCAAACCAGCAACTAAGAAATTAAAAAGGTATCTCCCCAAGTGTCACCAGGCCCCAATTGAGGGTCAAAGGGATGATTTAGGCAGAATTACAAGATAGGAAGGCCAAAGGTTTGTGCTTTGAATGCAACGACAAGTTCGCTCCAAGGCACCATGACTCCTCTCATGTTTTAGGATCCTCTTAGTAGTTGGTGACGAAGACTAAGAAACCTATTTTATTAGTAGTTGTTGGGTTTCATAATTGGAAATGAATACTTTCTTTATATATTGAACCACAAAAAATTTCGTTCATGCCATGTTAGAAGTCCGATGCGAGGTTACTCTCTGTGGGAAGGGTTTGGCAAAATCTTGATAGCATTTTCAAACCAGCAAGGCAGCAACTAAGAAATTTAAAAAGGCATCTACCCAAGTGTGACCAGGCCTTAGTCGGGGGTCAAGGGATGATTTAGGCATGGTTACAAGATAGGAAGGCCAAGGGTTTGTACTTTAAATGCAACGACAAGTTCGCTCCAAGGCACCATGACTCTTCTCATGTCTTAGGATCCTCTTAGTAGTTGGTGAGGAAGACTAAGAAACCGATTTTATTAGTAGTTGTTGGGTTTCATAATTGAAAAAGAATACTTTCTTTATATACACAAAAAAAATCGTTCATGTCATGTCAGCAATCCAATGCGAGATTACTCTCTATGGGAAGGGTTTGGCAAAATCTTGATAGCATTTTCAAACCAGCAACTAAGAAATTAAAAAGGTATCTCCCCAAGTGTCACCAGGCCCCAATTGAGAGTCAAAGGGATGATTTTGGCAGAATTACAAGATAGGAAGGCTAAAAGTTTGTGCTTTAAATGCAACGACAAGTTCGCTCCAAGGCACCATGACTCCTCTCATGTCTTAGGACCCTCTTAGTAGTTGGTGAGGAAGACTAAGAAAACGATTTTATTAGTAGTTATTGGGTTTCATACATGGAAAAGAATACTTTCTTTATATATCGAACCACAAAAAATTTCGTTCATGTCAGCAGTCCTTGCGAGGTTACTCTTTGTGGGAAGGGTTTGGCAAAATCTTGATAGCATTTTCAAACCAACAACTAAAAAATTAAAAAGGTATCTCCCCAAGTGTCACCAGGCCCCAATTACAAGATAGGAAGGCCAAAGGTTTGTGCTTTAAATGCAACGACAAGTTCGCTCCAAGGCACCATGACTCCTCTCATGTCTTAGGATCCTCTTAGTAGTTGGTAAGGAAGACTAAGAAACCTATTTTATTAGTAGTTGTTGGGTTTCATAATTGGAAAAGAATACTTTCTTTATATATCGAACCACAAAATTTCGTTCATGCCATGTCAGCAGTCCAATGCGAGGTTACTCCCTGTGGGAAGGGTTTGGCAAAATCTTGATAGCATTTTCAAACCCGCAACTAAGAAATTAAAAAGGTATCTCCCCAAGTGTCACCAGGCCCTAGTCGGGGTTCAAAGGGATGATTTAGGCAGAATTACAAGATAGGAAGGCCAACGGTTTGTGCTTTAAATGCAACAACAAGTTCGCTCCAAGGCACCATGACTCCTCTCATGTCTTAGGATCCTCTTAGTAGTTGGTTAGGAAGACTAAGAAACCCATTTTATTTGTATTTATTGGGTTTCATAATTGGAAAAGAATACTTCCTTTATATATAGAACCACAAAAAAATTTGTTCATGCCATGTCAGCAGTCCAATGCGAGGTTACTCTCTGTGGGAAAGGTTTGGCAAAATCTTGATAGCATTTTCAAACCAGCAACTAAGAAATTAAAAAGGTATCTCTCCGAGTGTCACCAGGCCCCAGTCGGGGGTCAAAGAGATGATTTAGGCAGAATTACAAGATAGGATGGCCAAAGATTTGTGCTTTAAATGCAACGACAAGTTCGCTCCAAGGCACCATGACTCCTCTCATGTCTTAGGATCCTCTTAGTAGCTGGTGAGGAAGACTAAGAAACCGTTTTTATTAGTGTGGAGCCAGAAGAGGAGGAACCCAGGCTGTTGAAGACAAAAGGCACTAACAAGTTGTAAACTTCCACCTTTAGGGCAAGGTGGCTTTTTTGTGAGTGTTGGGGGGAGGAGGGTAGTATAGGCCCGGACGTGGGTCTCGGCTGATTCAAAAGTATATTTAGGGTAGATCAGCAAATTAGGTAATTATATTATTTCCGTAATTAAGCAACTCTATACGTAGGAACTACAAGAGATTGATCATTACGTTAGTTTTCAACTTTTCATCCCAGAAAGTTTGAATCAAATTAGGCATCCTTGCAAGAGGCGGTTGCCTCTCAATAGCAGGCAGGTTTTGTGTTTTCATTAATGTTCTCTTTGTTTTTAGTCAAAATTACATTGGTTCTTAACAAATTCCTTGGTTATTTAAAGGTAGACGAGTGTATTTTTACCTGGAGTAATTCATAACATATTTAACTTTGGTGGCCTAAGACATACTACATGTGCGATCGGCAAATATTAGATGGAAGTCCCAATGGCTGAGAGCCTCGGAGCTATAATGGAGAGGTCCTTTCTTGTCTAGTGGCAATCAAAAGCTACAAATATCACCTCCTGGATGGAAATCATGGATTTTGAAGAGAGGGGGGGAGCACTTCGTTAGCTGGTTTACGGGAAATGAGATGGATCCAACCAAGGCTATGGGCCTAAATGGCGCTCCGTATCTTAATTCAGCAAGGACATCTCTAATCTAACTTGTGCTTTGGTTACTCTAATCCTAAAGGTAAAAGATGTTAAACTCATATCTCAATTCTTTCTTTAAGTTTATGGAACATGACATATAAACTAATCTGGAATTACTAGCTAATGAAGATGAGACCTAGAGAAATGGAAGGAAATGAACTGAATGAATCTACCATTACAAGTTACTCATTCATCATCTCTAGTCCTGCTTTTGTTTCTAAGGTAGTGGAAGAAGAGAAATCTTCGTTCTCCTTGCTACATTCCCAAACCCAAGGTATCTAATAGGCCTAACATATATGGTAACAAAACAAAGGCATATTAAGGAGCAGTTTTTAAGGTCAGGATTCCCTCGTGATCATAGGCATGTAGAGCAGTGAGACCAATCTATAGGTACATGCAGATCGGAGCTCAATATAGTTGCAAAAATCCTTTTTATAAGATTGAAACGTAGTGTGTTTTATCTTGAATGGAATGAACATCAAGAGTCCACAAGGAGCACAAAATCGATCTAGAGCCTAGATAACAAATTCATTCAACCCAAACTTGACCCCCATGGTCGCAAGATCATATAAAAATAAGAGTCTTGAAGTCGAATTCAACTTTTAACCGAATGAATTTTGTGGCATATGCTTTGAAGCATTAGTTCTTTTAGACATGTACAGATTGCTGGAAAGAACATGGATCAAGCTCAACTGAAGTTCATTTACTTGTATTACGCAATGAGAATTTCTTGGATATGCAACTATAGAGAGAAATGTTAATAGTTATATGGAAAAATAACTCACCACGTGTCACCCATTTTTCTAAGGTGGGGTATATAGTTGAAACTCATGTGAACTGAAGCTCCAACGTTTTTCACGAAAAATTGTTGAAGGGGAAAGAAATATTTTAAAAAATAACAAGACAATAAACAAGCAAAGGTAACTAGAAGTTACCATAATGTAACAAATCTGAACAGCATACATATTTTCATCCAAGCCAACTAGAACCAAACACAAGACGCTTGATCCTTGTTTCCAAAAGTCTCATTGTAATTTATAATTAAGGAAGGGGTTGTGCTGAAGATTGTAAAAGACCATGGCAAGGTGAAAAAAGAACTTCAGCGCAGCTAAACTTTGCCATATGATATTCAATAATAATAGTATCACTATGGTAACCTGAGTAGTGGGTTGACCGGCGACTCCTCTTTCGACCTCTTCACGCCCTTCCACATAAGCTGGAAGAAAAAATAGCTAATAATAGTAAATGATCATCATTGTATTACAGCAATAAAAATACTAGTTGTAGACTGTATAGGGGATGAATACATACATATCAGTTTCAGCCATCAATATGAAACTTACCAACATTAACATCAAGAGGGGGCCTTTGGTTTAACCAAGGAGAAGGTGGTTGCTGTACAAAGAAATCACAAATATTATTAATGAAGTCTATAACTGGGTTTTGCATTGAACTGGGTATTTGGATATATAAAGTACCCTTTCGACTCTTCTGAAAACAATGTGAAGAATCGTGTGAATAAAGAATTAACATCAGTGGAATTGAATCACTTGGACGAAAATATCATTAAATCATTAAAAATTTATTGGGCAAAAAAGATGTGCATACCATGTATGGACTAGGTCTCCCAGCTCTGCTTTCCGAAGCTCCATCCTCGTTCACAGGAGGATAATCATTTGGGGTAATGGGAGTGCCCCCAGTCGGTATGTTGTAGGAACTATCCACCGTCCCTGGTAAAGGTGTTGGGGCTGTTCCTGGTAATGGTGTTTGAGCAGGCAAAGGTGTTTGCATTGGAGTCTGTAATGGTGTCGGCACACAAACAATACTACTTAAAGAAACAAATGATGAAGGCATAAACAATAACTCAAATAACTGCTCTACAAATGTATCAACCTGCCTGCCTCACTCCCAAATGCAGAATCACATTAGGCTCCCTTTATATCCACAATGTAATTCTCTTCCCAAAACGAAATCACGCAAATACTAGGCTCGCTATGATATTAACACAAAAATCCCTCACATAACATGTGTATCTATGTACTCATATAGTTGTGGGAAAACTTGAATACATTAAATGTATCCAATTTTAAGATGGCATGATTTTCTCGGAGTGAGGTAGTATTAGACAGTTGAAAGGGCACCCACTTACAGGGAAGTTAACATAAGCATCCAATCAAACCTATAATTTACCACAGACAACTCACCGGAGGAAAAAGTAAATCAGCAGTAGGCGTTTCGTACTCTTCAGGTCCTTCATAGGGTACATTAAGATCATGAACAGGGTTTGTCGGAGCCCCAGGAGCCGCCAACTTCGAAGCAGATCTGTCAATTGGGCCAAATATAGCCCCAGCTTGCATCATCTTCAACTCCCATAACTATAACATAACCCAATCCCCAGAAAGCACAAGATTAATCGCAAATTAGATCCAAATTACAAGCATAACTAAAATCCAACTCGCACAAAAACCAGTACACTGAATCAAAACTGAAAAAAAATAAAATAAATCAGCCATGATTAGCTCAAAACAAAAACAAAAAAAAAATCGAAAATCACTCACTCCTTGAAGTTCGTTAAGGACTCCTTCGCCGGGGCCACCGCTGTTGATAAACTCTTCTCTGATTTTGCTGATAACGTCCTCGATGACTTGGACATAGACAGTGCTGGTGGTGGAACTTGCCATTTCGCCGATCCCACAGGGCGTAGGTACGATGTTAGATTTGAGAGTAGAAATTGGGGAAGGTTTTAGGGCTTGGAGGCGAGAGGGATTAGATTGGGTGCGGAACAGAAAAAGGGTATAAAGAGGGGAATATAAATAGGTTTGCATCCGTTTATTATATGCGCGTGGTGGTCTACGTGTCTTCCTTTACCCACTCCTATTTCTCTCCACCACATTTCCAAATATCAAACTTTTAAAGAGTAAATTACCGTTTTTAGTCCCTATGGTTTCTAGAAATTTTTATTTTCGTCTTTATGTTACTTAAATTATGACTTTCATTTTTATCTATACTATATTATAAAGCATTTGACTAAAACTCTTAAAAACTCTTAAACTCTTAAACTCTTAAGACTCTTAAACCCGTTCATCCCTAAACAATTTCATCCCTATCCGATTTCATCCCATAACTGAATTCGTGTAACTAACTGCAGATAAACACAATCAAATACAGGATAAACATCTCATTTTAAATATAAAAAATCTAA